CCCCCCCAAAAAAAAAAAAAAAAAAAAAAAAAAAAAAAATAGGGTTCATTTTTACATAAAAGGAAAACATTTAGAAAATTATTTGACTAGACACAGATGATCACTGAACTGATCTACTGTTATCTCAAAGAATGCAAACAAAAGTAAAATTTTAAATCAAAATTTGATTTTTTGCTGCCAACCACTTACAAGTAAACAGTTGGAAAGTTATGTAGAGCAAAATTTCCTTCCCAAAATTGATAAAGGAGGTATATTGAGTTAAACAGTGTCCCCCAAATTCGTGTCCAAACAGAAACCGTGAATTTGACCTTACTTGGAAATAGGGTATTTGCAGATGTAAGCAAGTTAAAACAAGGCCGCATTGGATTAAAGTGGACCCTAATCCAGTGACTGCTGTCCTTATAAGAAGAGAGAAACTGGGACAGAGACACAGACACACAGAGAGAAGAACACCATGTGAAGACCGAGGCAGCAATTGGAGTGATGCATCTACAAGCCAAGGAACAACCAAGGATTTCCAGCGACCACCACAAGAAGGAAGAGGGAAGGAAGGGTGCTTTCTTAGAGTCTTCAGAAGTATCATGGCCTTGTAGACACCTTGGTTTCAGACTTGTAGGCTCCAGAACTGCAAGAGAATAGATTTCTGTTGTTTTAAGCCAACCAGTTTATGGTCATTTGTATGGCAGCCCTAGGAAACTAATACAGGAAGAATATGGAAAAGAGGAACACTTGAGAAAATTTGTATTTCAAAACACTTGGCTTAACTTTAACACTCTCCTCTAGGCCCTATTTAGGAATCTAAGTTGGATGAGTGAACACGAGCTGACTCTTCTCTGATGGAAATTTGGACGATTGTTGCGCATTCATTCAAACTAAGAAGTAAAAAGAAAAAGATAAAAAGGGAGAGAAAATGCATTTATTTCATTCTACTACAGTGATAATTATTGTAACTTTTTATTTTGTGACTCCATTAGTCCTACCTCTGTCTTGGTAGGGAAGAACTAATCCTTATAACTGTTATTTAGACATTTTCACAAATGCTAAGGAACAGCTCAGTTGACACTCAGAACTGTATGATGAGCTAAGCTTCATATGGAATTGCTTATGTCTTCTAAGGCTGTAGGTGCGGTCAACAGCATTTTAAATTTGATTTTGTTGGTTATATGCCTTAATTTCACCACATCATCTGCTAAATGGGGATAATAATAGCCTCTGACTCCTAGTGGTGTCGTGAGGATTAAACGAGTTCATATTTACAAAGAACATAGAAGTTTCCTGACACATAACAGTAAGTATTAATCATTGCACTCATCTCTCTCTCTCTCTTTTAATTATTGGAATTTTACTTCTCACTAAACTGTGAGCTCCTCTAGGATAGGAAGTATGTCTGTCTCATTTCCTATCCCCAGAATCTAGTGTGTGTCTGGCACTTAGCCCTCAGCAAGCATCTGTTGCTTAAAGGACATTGTCCAGCATGCAGTTTGAAATTCCATCTCTCAGCCTTGGAAAAGGGAAGTGGATGGAAAATAGGTATGTGTCCCACACATAGACATTAAGCCTGACAATAGGCAAGACTGCCGAGGAAGAGAGCATGTGGGTAAAAAAGACAGAACACTTGTTTAAAAATTGATGGTGGGTGATGAAAGGAGACATTAAAAGGAGCTCTGAAAGGATGCACTTTCAAGGAAGCCATGAAAAGATTTCAAGGTAATTGAAGTGAGTCTAGAGGAAAGGCTCTCTCAAAGGTGGAGTATGAAAAATCTGTGGTTAGCAAGCAGCTGACTGAGGTTAATTTTTTAAGAAGTCTCAGAGGAAGGAAATGACAGTCATTGTGTAATACTTTTCTAAAACTTGGCAGGCTTTCAAATGTGGGTCCCTATCTGCCTTGCCAGGAAAGTCGAGAGTGACAGGGAGCAGGGAAAAGGAAGGGTCTGGGTCTCTCCAAAATGCTGCTTCTGGACAAAATGGTAACCAAGTCAAGTTATATCTTCACTCAAAATACGAGATAGAAAATTCAAATAAAACGCCCATTTTTGTCCTTCATTATTTTGCTTAAGCTCGTAAAGCAGAATTGATGATGTTTTTGCCAGGTAAACAAATGATCAGCATCAGGTTTTTATTTGAAATATCTCCCTCATCACACTTGAATCTCCACAGAGTTCCACCATCCACCGGGACTGAATAACCGGTTTCCCGAGTTCTTCCTGATGCGGTTCTGGTCATTATAGACGACCTGGGATACAAATTCCTCATTAAAAGGAGGGCAAGAAAAGGGAATCAATATCAATATTTGAGAAAGACGTTTTTTAAAGTAATAGGTAGGCATCACTTTTGCGTTTTAAAAAATTGTTTTTCTTTTGACAAATTTGAGGAATTGAAATCTCCTAAGTGATCAAATAGGCCCACAGAAATCTACCAAACAAGGAAAAATTTATTTTCTCAACATATGGTCTTATGAGTTTTTTTTTCCTGTTAATTGGAGAAAAATAGACCCTGAGCAGTTGCTGGAAAGAATGAATCACGTTTTAAAGAGGTGTTTTCTATACTTAAGTGAAGGAGACCCTGTTTAAGGTTCTGCCTTAAATAAGTCACTCCCTAGTCTCAAATGTTCTCATCTATAAAATAAGGAAAAAGTGTGTGTAGAGGAGACTCAACTGGACGTGCTTTCAAGCTCCCCATCCAGCTCTCAAGTCATTGCAGAATGATGTCTCCCTCTCTTTCATGCTACTTCCCTCGAGAAGAAAAGCTGTGAATTAATTCTTTGGATATGAAAATACCTGGGTACTGGAAAGAGTCCATGGAAAAATGGAATTAAAAGATAATGCGAATCTTTCCATTAGCTTTATTAGGACCCCTGGCAAAGGGAGAAGGCAACTTTACTCAAACGACAATGGTTAGGGCAAAAGGAGTCTAAAAAGGGCTCAGGACCCCCAGGCCTCGAGCACCTGCACCGCCACCCCCGCCACCCCCGCCACCTTACCCCCTCCCGCTTACCCCCGCCCGGCAGCCACTGCAGAGGGACCAAGATGGCGTCAGCACGCCGGGTCTCGCCCGACCCCGCCACTCCGCACTGCGGCAGTCCCAGCGAGGCCGCACCCCATTGGTCGGCTGTGATGAGGTCATCGGAGGGCGGGCCGCCGCCGGCGCGGGGGCGGGGTCTTGTGGACGCACGCACGTCGGGGAGCTGGTGCCCGGAGCCGCGGAGGCTGCGGTCTTGGCCGCGGCGGCTGCTGGTGGGCACGGGGCCGCCGACGAGAGGTGAGCGGGGGCTGTGGGCACAGCGGCCCGCGCGGTTCGCAGGGAAGCCTTCCAGTAGCCCCCTCGCTTGCGAAGGAATTAGCAGGGATCTCAGGTCTCCGAGGAAAAATGGGGCTCACCCCCATGTTGGGCACCCCACAGTGTGGCAGAGAAACCGGAGGCTCGCTGTTCGTAGGAGGCCTAGAATTCCTTCCCTCATTTGAGGGGTAGGCGGAAGAACTGGAAGTTATTTGGGAGGCAGAAGAATTATGGGGTCTCTTAAAGGGTCTCTTATTTGGGGGACTTCCCCCCTTCTCCCCCACCCGCGGAGGTAGGTGTGCCTGGGTCCAGAGAATTCCTGCTGTCTCGCGGGCGGGCAGGAAATGAAGCAGGTGATACCTTGTTAGGAGGCGACGACTGGATGACAGTGGGGAGGTGCTTCGAGGCAGGACGCCGGGGGCGCTGTATTTATTTGGACGCGTCTTTTGTAGAATTGCTCTTTCTTCATATTTTGCTTTGTGACCCCCAGATTCGCTTTGGCCCAGTTAATTTTCTGTTTGGCTCCATAGGGATAGAGATTTCTAGGGAAACCTGTAATCATTAAAGAACAGGAGGAGGAAGGTAACTCATTGGAGGCCGTCATCGTTGGCAGACCCTGAACTATGCTGATTAGGCATAATTTTGTATGTTTCGAGGTTGTGGAAATTATCCTTGGTGAAGGGCGGTGCTGGTAACAGCTGACTTGGATGATTCAGGTATTCACAATCTTACAGTCAGCCTACGTAAGCTCTTTGAGAAATCCTTACACCGGAGCGTGTTTCGCTGCCTTGAACATGAAATGCACAAAGGTTTTGTTCAGATTTCTCAAAATGTCTTCCAGTCTTCCAGAAGAGTAAGTCTTCCTTTGGTGTCAGTGTCACCTATCTATACTGCATATGGATGCCCGTATGACACTAAAAATACTGTACGTTTTGCTGAGTTTAGATACTGTACATTCTGTGCCTTACATTAGCTGATTGAGAGTAAATAATTGGAGTTTCAGGACCACTGATAGCGCCAATTGTCTTTCAAACGCTGCGACGTTAAGACAGCCCTGAAATGAAACCTTCATTGGCTCATGCATGAAAAGATTTGACCAGATGAAAGAATGTGATTAGTCTTGAAGGTAGGGATGAGAAACAGAAAGCTGCAGAGCTTTTATTTTCCGTGGCTTCCTAAAACTGCTTTGTCAGCACCGATGTGTTCCTGTCATGCTTGATTTGAAAGTGAGCTTCATATGCAAGCTGGTTCCTTTTTTTAGCAAATGGTTATTTGTTTGTATTCTTTCGGGGGGATATGGTGTTTTCCGAGGAGTTTGGAAGGTTAAACCCTTTAGCCATAGCTTTAGGGTAGTGCTGGGACTTTGGATGTTAGAAATGAGCATTGACAAGAGAGAGGAGAAAACTAGTCATAATGTAGACATCTTTTATGAAAGGGTAATTAAGGTCTGTTCCATTCGTTTTTTGCACAAGCAAAAAAATTGTTGGGCTTTGTGAACATCACTGCCAAATAGTATTACGTCCAGGGTACTTAGAGAGCTGTTTGGGGTTCCCAGTTCCTGTCTTTAATCTGGACACATTCTTAAGTATTGAGTTGTCCAAAATATTATCATTCGATTCTGATGTTGACTGCAAAGGAAGTGACTTTTCGTCTGGTCCTCTGCTGGACAGGATTCAGGCACTGCCTTTCCAGTTTCTCCTTTCCATCTTTCTAGGCAGGATGTCAAAATAATTGTTAAAGACCTGTCAGCATGGGGTGGAAGAAATGAAAATGCAAAATTAAAGAGTCTTATTGGGGTGTTGTTTGCTCTTATTTCTTTTTGTAATTTTCTCTTTTGCTTCAGGTTGGAGAGAAATCCAGGTACTCAGTTAACTGGTACTTTCTACCACCATGGGGGAGCTTTTCCGGAGTGAGGAGATGACACTGGCCCAGCTTTTTTTACAGTCAGAAGCTGCTTATTGTTGCGTCAGTGAACTAGGAGAACTCGGAAAGGTTCAGTTTCGTGATGTAAGTAGTTGTGGGGCTGCTTTTTGATTACCACTAAACTGTTTTTCTTGTCATGGCCAATTGCCTTATGATGAATTTTTGTTTTATTTTTTATTTGCAAAAATAACATTATAGCACTGGCTTACTATTAGTAGAGTGTATACTTTGAGTTGCCTTTCTAGAGGTGGAATGCATTGTGCTAATCCTTCCATGCTTTTGCTAGCTCTCTCTCTGGGAACCATCCTAAGCATTCCCAGGTAATTGTTTGGGAGGCAGGGAGAGGATAGCAGACTTACCTGTTCAAGGCTTTCACTTTGCATTAGGGCTCCTTAACACCTATAGCAGATAATTTTTTTTTTTAATTGTAGTTCTTCCGTACAATATGACATTTTCAAAATCTCTGACATCTAGCTACATATGTATAGTAGACCTGTGTAAGTAAGGATATTCTGAAAATCCATTATTTTGGAGCATTATGCTTGGCATTTGGAGAAGATATCAAAAGAAAATGAACAGTCTAAGACTGAAAAAGTATGCCATATAGGGCTTATAATCTGCTGAAAGAAGGGGGCAGGTAACAATCCATTGGTCCCCAACTCAGATCCTTCTGTTATGCAGTCTCAAAGCTCCGTATGCCTTTCATAGCACTCATTGTGGTGGTAATTTTACATTCATCAGTGTGAGGAGTTGGTTAAAGTCTCTCTCCTCTGCTATGATCTAAGCACCATGAAGACAGAGACATTCTCTGTTTGGGCTCATTAGTGTATCCTTAGTGCCCACATACAAGGTACTGATTGAACAGTATTTGTTGGAATAAATGGTTGAGTGAAAGATGAGTGATCAGAAAGGGGTGGGGTTAATCAATATGGGCTTCCTGGAATTGGCAGGCTTTCAGGAAGTTCTCAGTCTGAGCTGAAATTGCACAAATGTAATCTAGTGACGTGGCCTTATTCCTCATTCTCTTTGAAACATTTTATACTGTCTCTCTTCAAATGGTCTCCTCCCTAGCTAATACTTTTTTTTAAAAAACCTTTTTGAGGACTCTTGTTTCTTCCACTAGCTTCTCTTCGATCTTCCCTTCCCCTGCCCTAGGCATCAGTGTTCCCTAAGCTGTCTTCTCTGCTCTCTCTGGGTAAGCATCTCCATACCCACATCTTCCTTTATCACCTGTTTTGGTGTTTTCATGTAGTCTCAAATCTTCCATCTTTATTCAGTGTGTCTCAAAGTCTGTAACTCTGGCCCTGATCTCCCAAACACCATCTCTTCATTTTCAAATCTCTGAGGTTGTCACCTGGCAGTTCTCTCTGCTTCTTCAAGCTCAGTATGTCAAAGTCCAGACACCTTACTGTTTCACAAACTACTTCTTCATCATGACTTCCTAAACATGAGCTAATGCTTTGAAATTCTTCTTGTTTTCTAGGCTTGAAACCTAAGTCAAACCTGTCTCCCTTAATTTACAATTCTTCATCTGGTCTATAGTGTCTCCCTTCTTAACATCTGTTGTTTCTATCTAGCCTTCTTTTCCTTTACTTATGCTGTATTTCACTCATACAGAAAAAATGTAGGGAATAGGATAATGAACACCTATGTTTCTACTGTCTACTTAAGAGATAAACATTCCACATATAATTGAGACCTCCTGCATATCCTTCCTCCATGCCATTTATTTCCCTTCCTCCCCAGAGGTAAGTAATCTGTATGGTGATTTTTTTTTGTCTTTTTTTTTTTTCCGTGTCCGGCAACGGATCGCAACCCTCAGTGTTGTACCGGACCGGGGACCGGCAACGGGATCGCAACCCTCGGTGTTGCTCCCGCGCCTCGCTCAGCCAGTGAGCGGGAACCGGTCTGTATGTGGGATCCGAACCCTCGGGTGGGAGCGCCGCCGCGCTTCCCAAGCGGCGCACTATCCAGTGCGCCACCGGGCCGGCCCTGTATGGTGATTTTTCCTTTTATCATTCCCATATGTTTTTATTTTTTATTTTTGCTAAGTATATATGTATCACTAAATAATAATATAGAGTATAATTTTGTATGTTATAAAGTTATATACATGCTATCATATTGTATGTATCCTTCAGCGAGTGCTTTTTTAATTCAACGTTGTTTCTGAGATTGATCATGTTGATACAGGTGGCTCTAGTCTATTCCTCTAAATTGCCATATAGTTATTATAAGCATATATATACAGTTTATCTGTCTGTTTTTTCTCCTCAGTAATATTTAGATTGATTCCAATTCTCAGTATTGTAATGCAGATTCATATATAAATTAAAGAAATTTAACATTGATACTCTAGGACAGTGGTTCTCAAACTTTTTGGTCTCAGGATCTCTTTACAATTGTTAAAGACCCCAAAGAGCTTTTGCTTATGTGAGTTATGGCTATCAGTATTTACTGTATTGGATATTTAAACTAAGAAATATTTAAAATATTTATTAAATCATTTAAAAATTATGACAGTAAACCAACTACACATTGTTATAAATAACATTTTAATGAAAAATAACTATATTTAAAAAAAATAATGAGAAGAGTGGTGTTGTTTTTAGGTTTTTGAAAATCTCTGTAATGTCTGAATTAATAGAAGACAGCAGGGTTCTCACATCTGCTTCTGCATATCAGGCATTTGAGCCTCTGGAAAACTTCACTGAAAGTTCATGAGAGAATGAGAATGAAAAAGGCAAATGATGTCTTCATGTTATTATGAAGATAGTCTTGAACGCATGGACCTCTACTTCTCTAGGGATTATTGCTAAGAGGGGGCATTGCTGATTATTGTGTGCAACTTTGTTAGATGTTGTCACAGTGTACTTCACAATGAATGTACCTACCTGTTCATGCTGTTGTCATGGTTGAGTTTCAGTCATTCCACAATCATGTCAACACCTCTATGCTCAGACCTAAAGAAATTTGCCAATCTGGTGGGTATCTTATTGTTTTTTTAATTTGCATATTCTCCATTAGTACAGTTGGTATCTTTTTATCTGTTTATTGGATTTATGAGTTTCTTCTTCCAGGAAGTATCTGTCTGTATCATTTGCCTATTTTTCTGTTGTGTTGCTTGTCTTTCGCTTATTGATTTGTGGGATTTGTAAAAGTTCTTCATGTATTCTGAATGCTAATCTTTTTGTAATCCCTTACTGATAACTTCTTCCAGGCTGTAGTTTGTCTTTTCACTTTGTTTATGATACATTTTGTCCTACATAATTTTTTTCTTTCTTTTTGCTTATCAGTATTTTTTTCCTAAATTTTTATTTTGAAAAATTTCAAGCCTGAGTACCCTTATGTAGATTCACCAATTGTTAACCTTTTGCCACATGTGATATAATCTTTTTTTACTGCACTATTAGAGAGTAAGCTGTGGCCATTGTGACTTTTTCTCCCTAAATATTTCATACTTTAGCATGGACCACCTAAGAACAGACTTTTTTTTCATAGCCACAATTCAATGATCACATTAAAGAAATTTAACAATGATACAGTTATGTAATAAACAGTCATATTTAGATTTCCCCAGTTCTTCCAATAATGCACTTTAAAACTGGGTTTGGGGGTTTTTTTGATGTTGTTTTTTTGACTTGTGTCAGTGAGTTAAGGGAGAAGTGAGAAACACAGGGTGGAATTCTCAGTAGAGAACTTCTGAAAGGGGTGGTGAGGAGTAGCCAAAGAGAAATTTAGTCCACTTCTCATGTTCCGCAGAAGTGTAGCTTGTTTGGTCTTTTACATAATTGATATTTGTCACTTCTCACAGAGTGATGGAGACGCAAAGGATTACTCAAACCCCATTTCTCTGGAGCAGTGAGGGGCCCAGAAGGGGTTAATCCCAGGCAATTCCTTCAAGAGATCAGGATTCCTAGGAAATAACCCAGAAAAGGAACACAGGTGGTTACAAAAAGAACAATGAGATAATCGTCAAGGCAACACTTAGTTCCCCAAGAAACTTAAAGAAACAACTGAAGACAAGATGTGGAACATCCCGCAACCATCAACCTTGAAGCCTTTAGCTCACATACTTTCCCATCATTAGGTTTAGCTGCACCAAGGACGACTGCCCTTAGAGCAAGCATTTTTTTTTTTTTTTGTCTTTTTCCGTGTCCGGCAACGGATTGCAACCCTCAGTGTCGCCCCCGTACCGGACCGGGACCGGCAACGGGATCGCAACCCTCGGTGCTGCCCCCGCGCCTCGCTCAGCCAGTGAGCGGGAACCGGTCTGTATGTGGGATCCGAACCCTCGGCAGGAGCGCCTCCGCGCTTACCAAGCGGCGCACTAGCGCAGTGCGCCACTGGGCCGGCCCAGAGCAAGCATTTTTTCTGTGTTACAATTTTTTTTTTTGTCTACAACATAGACTTTAGTCCTGGGAAAGTTTTCTGTTTTTCCCAAGCTTAGCATTACTATGTGCAATTCTAAAAGGTTAGGCTGTACCTTAAACTAAAGGGCTTTGGCCTTCCTAAAACTACATTTGCTTTATTAATTTCAGTATCCTCCACAGATATTGTTGAGCAGTCCAAGTCATTTGTTTTGTGGAAGGTTCCTCAATTTGCAATTGTCTAATTGTTTCCTGGGAAGGTCCTTTAATTTGGAATTATCTGTTTCCTCATGATTTGATTTAGGTTAAACATTTTTAGCAAGAAAACTACATACAGGATATTGTGTCCTCAATATATAACACCAGAAAGCACAGGATGTCATTTGTTCTATTATTGTTGTTGGAGATAAATATGATCACTTGATTTAGCTGTTGTTTGCTAGATTTCTCTATTGTAAAGGTATCTTCTCCCCTTGGTTATTAATAGGTAATATGGGGTGATACTTTGAGACTGTGAATATCCTGTTCCCTGATAGCTTTTTACCTCATAGTTTTTGTATCTTGTGATGGAATCATTCTTGTACCAATTATTACAGTGGTGCTTACAAAACTGATGATTTTCTAATTCTACTTCTTCTACATTAGTTAGTTACCATTCTTTAATAAGTAGCTTTTCCCTCCTCCACCCTATTTTTTTCCTGAGAATAGCTGGGA